GCCATTCAGTAATCTTCCTGATTTTGTTTCTGTGAGGGTAGCTTTGTCAACTACAGAGTATCTGTAATCCCTTTTTCCTTCTATTACCGGAGAGGAACTGTCTACAAAAAGATGTTTCCCTGTTTGAAAAGGAGTTTCACGTAAGTCTAGTCTTAACTTTGGTTTGGTAACTAATTAGGTCTAAACATTTATGCTCAAGTTCCTTTGGTTGTGGGTTCCCTGTTACCTTTTGGTTTGGATTCCCGGTTAGAAAAGCAGCTGGATTTAGAGAATTGTCAGTGGTTAGTGTCAAGTCATCTCTCTAACAGGATAGCTTCATATTTTAAAATTCTTGAATCAGCGAGCCACCTTTCTGCCTTTTGGTTGAGGATAGTTCTGACTTCGTGAGGTGTGCTAACAGGGAGTTTCCCCCCAAAGGTTAATTTTCTGCTTTCCTTGCTCAGTGAGGAGTGTAGTTTGGGAAGAGGGAGCCTGTTTGGCTATTTGGTTGCCTAGATTATTTCCCCGACTTTCAAAGGAGAGGGTTTTTTTGGTGTCCTGGGACATGAACAATAGCTATTTCCTCAGGAAGCTGAAGATTATCTAATACTTGTATTAGTAACTCTTTGTGGACTAGGTTTTAGTAACTCTTTGTGGACTAGTAACTCTTTGTGGACTGAGCAATAGCTACAGATTGGACACATTTGGGCCATCCACGGGTAACGGGGTCAATAATTTTTGACAGGAATGCTGCGGGCTGCCAGTGGCCCCCATGCTCTTGGGTAAGTACCCCTAAAGCCACTCCTTTGCTTATACTGACAAAAAGATGGAATGGCTGTTCTAGGGAGGGTAAAGCTAGAACAGGGGCAGTCACTAGTAAATGTTTTAACTTTTCTACTTGTTTGATTTCTGGTGGAGTCCAGAGAAGGGGGTCTGGCTCTTCTTGGGTGAGTCTTTGGTACAAAGGTTTTGTTTCTAAGGCATAAGAGTCAATTCATAGGCAACAGTATCCAACCAATCCCCAACATTTTCTGAGCTCTTGTTTTGTTTCTGGCAGAGGTAGGGATATGATGCCTTCAATCCGTTCAAACCCAATTTGCTTTTGCCTTTCCTCATCCCTTCGTACATATACCTTTTGGGCCTCTCTTAAAAGCTCTTCTATGGGACGGTCTTTCCAATTTTCTATCTTTTGTAATTTCTTTGTAATATCTGGTGACAAAGTGGAGCTTTAACATTCCTCACCCAAGGGTGTCTTCTAATTCTAGGCCAGCATACTTCCTCATTTGCTCTTTAAGCCTCTCTAAGAATTCCATAGGTCCTTTATCCTTTCCCTGTTGTATATTAAAAGCTTTGGTATATTTTGAGTTCAAGGAACTGATTCCCGAATCCCTTTAATTACCATATCTCTGAGATCTCTCATATTCCCTTGATGGTGTTATTCCATTGAGGATCTTGGGCCGGGAACTTTTGTTCAGCTGCAGGGATGTTAGGACTGAGGGGGTGTTCATGTTCCCAAACCGTCATAGTGGCCCTGCGGATCATGCTTCTTTCCTCTCCCAAAAAGAGGATGCCTAGGATGGACATTAACTCAGCCCAAGTATACAACTGGGGTCCTAGAAATTGATCAATTTGATCTGCTACTCCATAGGGATCGTCTAAGAGTGGTTTGAGTTCCCTTGTTAGGCTTTGGATTTCTGAACTGATTAACAGGGCGTTGATGGAACCAATGCCCCCTCCTCCTAGAGGCACTTCCCTTAAGGGAAAGATCGTTGGAGCACATTCTCTGGAGGTAGTGGGGAAAGGGAAGTTTTGGATATCTTTTTTACATTGTGCTATCTCACACTGAAGTCTTCCTGGGGGAGGGCATTCAGGCTGGGGAGACCCCAAGAGTCAGGATTATGAGGGGGAGAAACAAAGTGAGCTGGGGAAGGGTCTGGGGCAGTTGCATCTACTGGAGGGGGAGGGAAGTTAGTGGTGTTTGGCAGGGAAGGTGGTCTAAGGGGTCCCACGTGTTGGTTGACTTATTGGGGTAAGGGATATTAATTTCTTGAGAAGAAGTAGCTTCTGGCTTGTCTCCTGTATCCTTTAGGGAATATAGGACAGGCCCCTGCCGCCAACACAGGGCATAGTCTTATTTCCTCCTGGGACACAGGACTTTTGTTATTGATATACCCTATTAAAAGTTGACAAATCCAGTCCTCACTAGACTGAAACTCTTGGCCAAAAGACTGAATGAAGGTTTGAGGATAGGTTCTTTGGTCCAAATAAAACAGCAGTATTTTATCATTTGTTGCTTTTTCTTGTGTTTGGTCCTCGCATTATCCTTCCAATATGTTAATATGAGACCTAGAGGGCTATCAGAGAGAATTGTATTGTCTGTCTTGTCCTTTTTGTTTCCTGTCCTGCTTGAGGTACTTCCCATTGTGGAAGTTTTAGGAGTTTCCCTGCATTTCCTGAGTCTGTGTGGCTCAACCTCTTACTAGAGATTTCTTACCCCCTTTTCTCTGGAGGTTCAACCCCTCCCCGCCCACTGGAGGTTTCTTGCACTCCCCTACTTTCACTTCGTACTTCTCCGGCTACTTCCCTCACGGGAATTTAAGCCTCTCTAAGAATTCCTTAAGTCCTTTATCCTTTCCCTGTTGTATATTAAAAGCTTTGGTATAGTTTGAGTTTGAGGAACTGATTCCCGAATCCCTTTAATTATCATATTTCTGAGATCTCTCATATTCCCTCGATGGGCTACATTGTTATTCCATTGTGGATCCTGGGCCAGGAACTTTTGTTCAGCTGCAGGGATGTTATGACTGAGGGGGTGTTCTTAGCATTGGCAGGTTGGTATAAGCCTCACAACAGGAAAGCTGCCTTAAGCCATATGAGGTGACATGGAACCACGGATCCGGACTCCACACTCGCTTCACACTCAATTGTGTATCTTATTCACACACTTTCAACCTCCAGGATGTCCTGACCACCAAGGAAGTACTTCACCACCCCCACAGCTTTTCTGACCTTGGTGTGTGCAGAGTTACCTGGTGGCTGCGGTATTTGTAGGCCTTTTCTTCCTTCATTGTTGAGAGTTCAGGTTTATTCCTCACACGGGTGGTTCTCAATTCCTTACTCCTGAGGCCATCGCAATGAGGCAGCGGGACGCATCTCCTCATGAGAGGTGATCACAGACCCTTCCCCGGAGGAGAATGGGATACCAGACGAGCCCCCAAACAGTTGGAAATAAGAGCCTGGAGTCACAAAGAAAACAAGCACTCAAACAAAAGACTTCTCAGCAAGGCAAATTTACTTCTGCAGAAGGGTGCTGCCTGCACCAGTCACAATCGCAAGAGCACACTGAACAAAGGAGAAGAGAAGGGTTTTCATCCCTAACGCAGCTTCTGTTTGTGTCCCTTCCCCATTGACTGGAGTCAGACCACACAATTTAAGCTAACCCAATTGGCTAAAACTTGAAATTTTTCTAAATAGGGTAGATAGGGAAGAAGGGGTAGCAGTGGTAAAACTTTTCCAAATAGGGTAAACTGAAACCTTTAAATGTGTAACTTATAAAGGAGGGGAGAGAGGGATTGTCCGTTAAGGCATGTTTGGGCATGTTTAGGCATGGCAAAGATGGAAAGGCTTGTTTAGAAAACAAGAATTTATCTTTTCTAACAATGTGAAAGGACGTTAGTTGCTAAAAGAAAGAAGTTTGAAGAGGAACTGATTATTTCTAGCACCAGCTACTTGGGAGGCTGAGGCGGGAGAATTGCTTGAACCTGGGAGGTGGAGGTTGCAGTGAGCCGAGATCACACCATTGCACTCCAGCCTGGGTGACAGAACGAGACTCTGTCTCAAAAAAAAAAAATGAATTACAAGCCAGGCACAGTGACTCAAGCCTGTAAGCACTTTGGGAGGCCAAGGCAGGCAAATCACTTGAGGTCAGGAGTTTGAGACCAGCTTGCCCAACATGGTGAAACCCCGTCTCTACTAAAAAATATATAAATTAGCTGGGCATGGTGGCACGCACTAGTAGTCCCAGCTACTCAGGAGGGTGAGGGTGTAGTGAGCCAAGATCATGCCACTGCACTCCAGCCTGGATGACCAAGTGAGACCCTGTCTAAACCCCAAAAGAATTACACCTGAAGTTATTCTCTTGGTTACCCTACAGTGCCATCACTTTTTGAGGATGAGCACTCACATAGCCCTATATGCACTCATACACACAAAGTTCTTGCCAGTTCTAATAGACTTGTGCTCTTTCTTGCTAAAGCACTACTCTAAGTTCTTAACTCTCACATGCAATGACCAAACCCCACACTCAACACTGAGTTCCTCAACTCTTTATCTCAGCATTTCTACTGACATGTAAGACCTTAATGGTAGAAAATATTAAATGCCCTGTTTTAATTCAAATTTGGAAGGGTATCTGCATAGGGTTCAGTCACCAGCATGTCAGGGCATCCTGGTTGAGAACCACTGACTGCTGTTTCACCACAAATTAGTGATAAATCTCTTGCTATGTCAACTTCAGTCACAATTCTGTATCTGCCCCTGTACCAGACTTCTTAAAACCCCATTTTGTGTCAATAGAAATGGCTGGAAACAAAGTCTTGAGCCAACTCTAGGATATCCAAAGTTCAGGTTGTTTAAAAGAATCCCACTAATTAACAAGCTAATCCACCATATATAATGGAGTGAGGAAATACTAGACTGGTTTAATTCTATAATATTAAGACCCAACAATCTTGAGCATGAAGAGACAATTCCATTTACACAGGTGCTCGTGAAAAGCTTCCTACCAAATGATATATATTTTTTTATTCCCGCACCCACCCTCCCAAGTGGTATTTTGTATGTAAGCCAACTTGGGGACAATGGAGGCAAGATGCTCTTATTTCACTGATGGCAAATGACCATCTTCCAGAGCCAGCAATCCATAGCTATGAAAGACCCAACCTCAATGCCAGTGGTTAAAAAGAAATCTTTATTTTACAAAATTAAAAACATAAATAATATTTACAAGCATCTTAAATACCAGCTTATAATACTTGACATTTTTTAATCATTTCAAATTGAGTTTCCCATAAGCTTTTAAAATGCAAGACCATTCATTCACTTGAGTGAGTTACCAGTTTTTATTTCCACCAATCCAAAGGGGGTTTTGGTTTTTGAAATTGTCCATACTGTGGTCATTCAAAAAAATACAATGTACTTTTGAAATGACTAGCTTTAAAAAAAAAAAAAAAATCCTGAGCTTCCTACCCCAGTTGTGGGATATTGCTCCAAAACAACTCAAGAACCCAAATTATCTTACTGCCTGATTAAACGTAACCACTCTAGCTTTTTAAAGACATTCCTGGTACTCACATTAATCCATCTCCCTAATGTTTCAGGTTTGCTGGAAGGAAAAGTAGAGAAAATAGAGAAGTGGGAGAATCCAGATGACTATCTGAAATCACATTATTGAAAATACAACAGACATGACCCAAAAATCTGATCTTACTAGTTTCATTTGGGATCAAATCCAGGATATTTTAGTGTACAAAAATTTCAAATGATTTCAGATGATACGTATGCAATGGCAAACCTGAGTGGCACAATGGAACACAGACTTAAAAGATGCTTCAGTGGTCAACACTCATTCTGGAGTTCTCATGAATGAAGGGTACACAGATTCAGTAAAATTGTTTGCTTTTAAGTTTCATTTTCTGGTCTTCAAATTTCAGCACAGAGCAATTCATTTCCATATAGTAATATGTAAAGAATGACTACAAAAGTGTGAGGAAAGCAAATATCCTCAAGAAGGGTCAGAAAAGGAAAGGAAGACTCAGTATCTACAACCCATTACATAAGAACACCATTTTGTTCCATTTTCCCTGGAAGCCCTCACAGCTCAGCTGAGAATCAGAGTAAGAATCTTCATTATCAGAGATTAGCAACAAATTTAAAAGAAAAAGAATGACAACAGGTAAGAGTTATATACATTTTACTAGTTTGTTTCAGACTTGTCCTGGATATTTAAAAAGGTGTCAAATGAGCCATGGATGCTGGTGGCAGGAGGCAACCAGAGAGGAGAGGCTCAGGGATGAGGAATGGGGAAGACTTACTTACAAATTCAGAGCAAACTCCTCTCTTCTGGGTCTAAAATAAAGACATCTTTTGTCTTCAGTAAAACAAAAGTCTTTCTGCTCAATGCAGATGGTAGGTACAGTTTGCTCAAAAGAAGCATTTTCTCTTGGGGAAGATAAGTACACAGTCAGCACAGTAAGCACCACTCTGGGATCAGGCCCAACCTGCAGAGCCTGGCGCCATCACTGCTGCATGTTGTTGATAATCGCCAGGATGCTCATCTTCTCCTGGGCAGAGTCCACATCCTCATTCTGCTTCTGGGCCACTCCTGTGCCTAAGCCATAGAGCCGTCCACAGTACTTGGCATCATCAATGCTGTCCTCAAAAAACAACTGAAGAATGGGACAGAGAACCATGGTGAGAATTATGCTAGAAGTCATGACAAGTATAAACACTATCACATCTAGCCAGGCACAATGGCTCATGCCTGTAATCCCAGCACTTTGTGAGGCCGAGGCGGGCAGATCACTTGGGGTCAGGAGGTCGAGACCGGCCTGGCCAACATGGCAAAACCCCATCTCTACTAAAAATACAAAAATGAGCCAGGCATGGTGGCACACGCCTGTAATCCCAGCTACCTGGGAGGGTGAGGCGGAAGAATCACTTGCACCCAGGAGGCAGAGGCTGCAGTGAGCCAAGATTGTGCCACTGCACTCCAGCCTGGGCAACACAGTGAAATGCCATGTCAAAAAAGAGAAAAACCACTACCACATCAGCACCTCCCAGCCTTCCTAAAGCCCTGAAAATACACCAAACTAGAAAAAAAAAAACTAATAGTATAGAAAGGCTCAGCCAGGCACAGTGGCTCACGCCTGTAATCCCAGCACTTTGGGGTGCCAAGGCAGGTGGATTACGAGGTCAGGAGTTCAAGACCAGCCTGGCCAAGATGGTGAAACCCCAACTCTACTAAAATTACAAAAAATCAGCCAGGCATGGTGGCGGGCACCTGTAATCCCAGCTACTTGGGTGGCTGAGGCAGAGAAATGCTTGAACCTGGGAGGCAGACGTTGCAGTGAACTGAGATTGCGCCACTGTACTCCAGCCTGGGGAACAATGCAAGACTCCATCTCAAAAAAAAAAAAAGCAGACACGGTTTTACTCACTGCAACCTCCGCCTCCCAGGCTCAAGTGATTCCCTTGCCTCAGCCTCCCAAGTAGCTGGGATTACAGGTGCATGTCATCATACCTGGCTAATTTTTGTACTTTTAATAGAGGCAGGTTTCGCCATGTTGGTCAGGCTGGTCTGGAACTCCTGACCTCAAGTGATCCACTTGCCTTGGCCTCCCAAAGTGCTGGGATTACAGGTGTGAGCCACCATACCCAGCCTAAACCTTTCCTTTTAATGCAGTCTTTTCATGCTCCTTTCTCTGCAGGAGAAAGGCTCTCCTATCTGAACAGACATACTTTCCATGTATTCTTTTACTGCCAGTATCTCTGTGCTGCTGCTGCTGCTGCTGTTTAATGCAACTGCTTCCTTGTCTTTAACAAGCAAAGCAATGGTTAAGAGCTTGGGCTCTGGATTCAGACGGACTCACTTGACCTTGGCAAAGTCATTTAAACTCCTTTTAAGCCATAGTTCCCTATCTATAAACAGGACAATAGGGTTATTATGAGGAATGAGATAACAAACAGTAAGCACTCAAAGCAAGATCTCTCCATTGTGACACTACTGGGGCAAGATAATTATTTGGGGTAACTTGTCCAGTGTACCATAGGATGTTTAGCAGCATTCCTGACAGGTAGCACACCACCCTCCCCCACCAGATTGTGACAACCAAAATCATGTACAGATATTAACAAATGTACCCTCCAGGGCAAAATCATCCCCAGTTGAGAACCACTAACCTAGAACATTTACCAACACATGGTAACAGTTGTTTATAATTAAGAGTAACAAAGAGGAAATGTACTCTCCCTCTCTACAATCTTAGCTCTAAAAAGGAGATCCATGTCTACAGATCAATTAATCTGATCCGTTCCTCAAAAGTGTCAACAAAATCGACATTTTAATTTTTCCAAGCAGCGTCTTACTCCTTCTACATCTTCAAATACATTTTAAAACCTGAGTCAATGAGTAAAGAAACTAAAAGAAGAAATTAAGAGTCTTTTTACTAAGGGGTTATAGTAAACTCAATATAGTATTTATTTAATAGTAATTGACAGAACTTACCATAATGTCAGTGGGTGGCCTAACAAATATATTTGTATTACAGGAATCAAAAAAAAGCAAATAACTGAAAATTAGAGTTACCAAGAATACCAAGTTCTGGACTTGGGTGTGCTCAAGAATACTTGGTTACTAGAAAGTGGCTCTCATGTCAGAATGCTGCTTTTGCCTCTCAAACATGTGACATGCTGAACACCGTAACAAAAAACAACCACTTTCAAAGTGGCCATCAACTTGCTAAAAAAACAATCAGTGTGACCGGGCGCGGTGGCTCACGCCTGTAATCCCAGCACTTTGGGAGGCCAAGGCAGGTGGATCATCTGAGGTCAGGAGTTCGAGACCAGCCTGGCCAGCATAGTGAAACCCTGTGTCTACTAAAAATACAAAAAATTCAGCCAGGCACCATGGCTCA